ATATATATTTCTGTACTTAATATGCAAATAAAAAATCTGTAAAGACTTTGCATCTTATTTAACTTTATTTTGCCTTTCAGTAACCAAATGAAATATTCTTAAGGGGAAGGTGGTATAGAAACAATACAAAAATACCTTGAAGGAGTAGAGCCTGTATGTAGCACAGTTTTCCCTGTAGTGTCCATTCTCTGAATTACTAAATGATCTAACACCATCTTTTTCTTGGCTCGTTCAAGAATATCTTCTTCTACTGATCCTTTTGTGACTAGTCGATAAATATTAACCTATGTGTATTTAAATAGAGTAAGCAACAGCAAGGAGAAATCTTAGTCTTCAGTATATATTTTCTGAATTGATTAAGGGGTTTCAAACATGAAATACTAATTCCATCGTGTTACCACAGCCTTCACAGAAGCATTAAAAAACCAAAACAGGTTAATAAGCTCTTAGACCTATCTCATGTAAACTTCAGTGACTTGGCACAAGCATTGCCACAGGCAATAATGCTGTCTTTCCAATTGTTACTGTACATCTGCAAGGAAGAAACAATCCTGAAGAGAACTAAGAAATATTTAAGCAAGAGAGGTGTGCCTGATGCAGCAGTTATTTTCTAGAATGACACGATGCCAACAAATGTAGGACAGACAAGCCAACAACTCTTTTCCCTCTCCCATCCAAATACCACAGCTGCCATATTATTTCACCCTATATGGAGATTTAGAAAAAAGGAAATGAGCACTACTAACATTTTTTGGACATATACAGGAAGTGTTAAGTTATTTTCAAAAATATGTGAAGACTGAATGATGCAGTCAGAGTGCACAGCTACTGTATGGAACCCTACTTCAGGTTTGGAGCTTAAAGCTGGGTGTGTGTACCTGTTTCTTCTGTCCAATTCTATGTGCTCTAGCCTGTGCTTGCAGATCATTCTGTGGATTCCAGTCAGAATCAAATATAACCACAGTATCAGCAGATGCCAAGTTGATACCTAATCCTCCAGCTCTGGTAGACAGTAAAAAACAGAAGTCCTGAAATATAAAACAAGAAATAGTTTTATATACAATAATTGTAATGTTCCTAAAGGAACAAATATGACACTAATTTAGGTAATTATGTAGTGCAGACTAGAAAATCATATACTACCAATTCCATAATCTATGATTAAACCGTCTTTAAATATAAAGCAACCATTGATTATCAATTGCTTTCATAAATAGTTACAGACTTTTCAACAGTTTAAAGTAAGCAACATCCTAGATGATGATCACAGACCAAAATACTGCAGTAAAACAAGACTGGCCAAAAAGTACATAAACTTTACTCAACTTCCCTGCCCCAAGCCCTGGAAGACCAGGCAGCCATGTCAGAGCAGGGAAGGTGCTTGACCCTACAGATAACTGGTTAAGAGACAGGAAGCAAAAGGCTCCTGCCATGTTCCGTGCTGTTCAACATATCCATGAACAATATGAAAATGGGATAAGCAACAAGGTGAAAAAAACCTGTAGACAACATAAAATTACTGAATCAAGAGGTAACTGTCAAAGTCTGCAGAAGGATCTTGTGACATGCAATAAAACAACATATGAAATTCTAGATAAAAAAACCCCAAGTAAACCCAATTTTCAGTACAATTACAGGAAACAGCAAACCATTATGCTCAGAAGAGAGCCCCGAGGTTTGTGTTAAACATTTCCAGTTAGCCCTTAGCTCAGTAATACAAAAACTATATAAAACCCCATACAAAATATTATGAAATTTTTAAAGTTAAAAACCCCTCTGACAACATTATTGTTTTGCTACACAAATTCACAGTTTGCCTCAATTTTGGAAATGATTTAAATTCCTTTTCATCTCGAACTGCAAAGATTTCAGGAAAAGTCAAAAACAACTATGCAAGAAATTTGAAACAGAGTTAACTTGTGCATTTACTAAGCATTGAATTTTACATTATGGAGTTCTGTCCTTCTCCCTCTATCACAGCAGAAACAAACTCAGCAGCAGCTAACAAATGCTATCCTTCAAATACAGACTAAAAAGCCCAACAAACTACACCCAACAACCGGCGACTGACCAAACCAAAACAACCTCCCCTCCCCCAAATCTGTCAGTGTAGGATTTAAACTGATCAGAAGTATGGAATGGCTTGCATAATAGGAATGCTAAATAAGCTACAAATATTCCAGCTCAGAATAGAAAGAACTGTAACAGACATCTGTGTGTTCAAAGGCTGCTCACAAAGAATTGTCAGAAATCAGTTCTTTACTATTTCTTCCTGGGCAATTAACAGGTGGCAACAAATGAAGATGACAGAAACCATATTTGAAACAATTAAAATACCGTTGTTAATGCAAGGATAAACAAAGTTAGTTATGCCCATTGCCAGAGGACGCTAATTGCTTGTGTAAGTTCAATGCTCTTGTGAACAACACTAAGTTCTACACACGAACAAAGCCGAGGTTAAAATTCTGCAGCATTTATATAGTAATTAAAATTACTTTGATTAGGAATTTTAGAAAAAGTTCTAGTTACATAACTAATTAACTACCAGTTTCCTAATTTATGTGGTTTCTATTTAACCTCTTCTTAGAGATGATGTAAACCTTATACTCTAAGACAGTAACAATGAATTTTCAACCTTATTGATACTTTCCTCACTCTTCTCAGCCTTCCTTTTCTGTGCAATAATCTTTTATATTTCTTGGGAAGAGACAAAAGAGATACCTTAGGAAAAAGCTACTATACCTCTGATCCTTCTGCATTAAAATGATCCAGTGCTTGTTTCCTCAATTCCCCTTTTATGGATCCATCAAGTCTCTGAAGAGATTAAATACTACAGTCAAAAAGTAGTTCTTAAACTATATTCAAAATCAGAACAACTTGAATTCTCAGCTGCCAAAACTGTTATGTGAAGGAAAAAAAAGCAAACACACTTGCCATAACTTTTAATTTATTGGTTTCATGTCAAAATGCTGTTTATCAGAGAGGAACTACCAGTCCCTTTCTAGAAAAAATCAATTTTTCTTACATGTTTTCTTAAGCAAAGGGGTAAAGGTCACACAATCGCAAACAGTTGAGGCTGGAAGATTCTGCTAGAGGTCATGTTGTCTAAATCCCCTACTGTGGCAAGAACAGCTAAAACATGTTGCCCAAGGTCATGCCCAGGGAGCTTTTGACCCTCCACAGCAGACAGAGATTTCGTAACCTCTGGACAGCTTGTTCCAGTGCTCTGACATCCCTGGAGTCAATAAAAGGCTTTTCTTATATACAAGATTAAAGCTCCTCAACAGCTAACACCCTCAAGATTCTTACCTGAAATGGGAATTGACGATATTTCAGATACTCTGCCAGGATGTCCAGCATCCTCACCATCTGTGAGAAAATCAGAACTCTGTTGCCACGTTCTCGCAGACGAATCAGTAGCTTGTCAAGAAGGATTAGTTTCCCGCTGCTACGTATTAAATGCTACAAAAAACAAGAAACATAGATAGCAAAATAATTGAATCTCAACACTCATTCACATTGCAGTTGGTTAGACATGCACTTGAGGTTCAGCTTGTTGCTGTGGGGAGAAAAAAAGAAGGCAAATACTGACATTCCTTAAGAATTTTAGTTTAAAACATGCATACAGTAATATGCAATTAAAACTGGTGATATTTATGTCGTCAATTCTCTGTCAATTATTCAGTTCCAGTTAAGAAACAAAAGTCACTTCACTGTAAAAACCCAGGTTGTACATTTTCCAGAGAACCTGTTTTTCCTTAATACACTCAATAAGAATTAATAAACTACCAGAGCGCTATGAAATTGTATGAGTAATACAGATGTAAAACTTTTCTATTAATTAAAAAGTGACATTACCTGTAAGGCCTCCTGTTTATTATAGAATTCATTATCATCCGGTGGTTTAATGAGGTAGCAATGGTTACAACACTTCTTGAGTTCCATCATGATGTTCAAAAAGCCTGAGGTACTGCCTTTTGAACCTTTGCTGAGGGCTTTATAATTCCTGGTTAAAATCCACCTATGATATAAGATGTACAATATAAGTAACTTCTAACCATATCTGGAGGCAAGACAGATGTAAGCTCTCAAAATATTAACAAGCTAAAGAAAAAAAGCAAGTCCCAAAAGAATGTACATATAATGCCAATCAAAAGAAACTATGTGAATAGACATTAGAACACCATTAATTCCTGAAGCCCTGGTCCACAGAATTTTATTGTTGTGAAACCCTATAGAAACTGAGGCTTCTATAGAGTATACAACCTATTATAATTCAGTAAATTGCATGTAGACACATCACTGAGCAGCACAATTTACAAAGAGTTGTTACTTACTTGTAGTATTGCTTCTGCAATGCGCTCATTTCCATCCTCAGAATTTGCTCAACTTTAGCAGGTAAAGACTTTTCTACATCTTTTTTAACTCTTCTCAGGAGAAATGGTTCAAGTTCTTTGTGAAGACTTGCATAACCATACTCTCTCCCTTTGCCATGCTCTTCTTCAAAATCCTCCCATGAGGAAAACCTTCAACAAAATAAAGAATAAGTGCAAAACAGTGACATAGTGTGAATGACCTGATGAAGCAAAATTAATGAAAAAAGGTATCCTGAACACAGAACATGTATAAATATACCACAAGGGCGCACACACAGCAAGATTCTATCCTACTCACTTCCAGGTTTTTTAATACAATTCCTGAATATTCGTATTCCAAACACTGTGCCTGTAAATAGAGGAATGGAATTTTCCAAAAACTTTTACAGAATGAAAACTTCTGATTTCCCAATGGAAATGCAATCTTTTCCTTTACTGCAAGGATGCCTAGATGGTTACAGAGAATTCCATTATTATGTTTATGAAGAGCAGTATAAAAAACCAGCATGGCTAGAGGGTGTGCAAAAGAACAAGCATCTTCTTCAAGTATGTCTTGCAGCTTGTATGGTCCAGCTGAAGGGTAGCTACTGCCTGTGCTAACAGACTAGGAGATCAAATTAAGAATGGGTACTCAATCACAGTGGCTTTGCTTGTAAAGTTCTGAAGAAGTTAGTTCAGTTCACAGCTCAAACTAATCAGAGCTATGGTGCTTGGCATTTACAAGATGTCTGCCAGCAACATGTGCTTTTACACAAGAGCTCTAATTTACCTTAGGTCTAAACTACAAAATAAGGTCAACACAGCAAGTATGCTGTGCATGCAAAACATACAGGAAAACCAGCTCACTAATTACAGTATATTGGACATCTTGGTACAAATTTGTTTTCATTAACAGTACTAGCACAGAAAAGATTCTGTTCTACTTCCTCAAAGATTTTAAATCCATACAGTTTTCCTCTTAGGCTAAGATGAAGCCTTTTTTCAACAGGTTCTGACTCAAAGATCAATTCATTATTTTTGTGCACTGTTAAAATGGGAAAAGGTAACAATTGCCACCAGTGTTGTTTATCAGAAGCAGCATGAAAAGATATATTATCTACTTTATATACACTATTTAAATTATTGCTCAGTACAATTCTCTACCTCTACTCATTCTCAAATCACTACACTATTTCACAATAACAAACTTGACAAAATACTCTTCCTTACTTTTCTGGCATGATGAAGTGCAACAAGGACCAAAGCTCTTTGAGGGAGTTTTGCAGAGGGGTTCCAGTAATAAGAAGACGATGGTTAGACTTAAAGTCTATTAAAGTCTTGTACAGAAGAGAGTCATCATTTTTTAAACGATGAGCTTCATCAACTCCTATGAATGCCCAATTCAGACCACCAAGGAATGACTTTAAAAAAAATGGAGAAGGGAGAACTGTTATACAAATAAACACATTACATAATTTCTCACATTCTATAATCAAGCTACAAACATCATGACTTCTTAATTTAATTCAATAAAATATGGACAGCTCTATGTTTTTAGTATTAATTATGGCTTTTGCATTTGCTAAATTCAATGAAAAGCTGTGTAGGCATCCCAAGAAAGCATAAATGAAGTTTATGATTTAAAAAAATGGCCAAAAGTCTGGTCCACATTAATTTTTACATGGCAGGAAAAAAATAATCTCTATTGACTTCTTCCCATCATGTACAAACAAATGAAGTAAAAATATTCTGCTTCTTGAATATCTATAATAATGTCCACATACTGTTAGGAGGATTAACAACAACTATGTTTTTGCTACCACAATGGAGACAGTATTAATACATCTACACATACTACTGCATGCACAGTATCACAGAAAAACTACACGGGATTTCATAGTTCTATATCGTATTTGGAGCTATGGGCTGGGTTCTTTTTCAGTTCCTTGATAATGGTCTGCAAAGAAGTAGAGCTTGAAGATGGGAGACTATTACAGAATCGCAAAAAAATGGACAAAATTAAGCGTTACCCACTTCACAAAATGGAAAAAGGCTGAACTCAAGCCCCAGACTACACACTGTCATACTTCCAAAAGCAAATTCTATCACACTCTCCATAAATTTAATTCTCTAGAGAGTACTCTATACTGGAGAAATTATTTTTAGCTCCACAAAGAAGTGCCATTACCTTGTCCTTCAGCAAAATCTCGTATGTTGTTAGGAGTATGTTAAATTTTAATCTTTTGCTCTGTGGATGCATCCATTCATGAGTTCTTATCTACAAAAAGAAAAGGTCTTGTTAACTGGGATCAATTTAAGTGTTGCAACAATGTAGATGTTTAATAGCATACAATAATATGATAACAAAACAGAAGGCCAACACACACATACATAAGATTTTTATATGTATACGTACAGACATACACACATAGCATCATATATATACGCACACACATATGTAACAGATACAAGATTTTTTTCACTTTATTGGAACAACTTTTCAGAATGTGAATTAACATCATGACTGGCTTTCTTGCATACTTATTTTTACTATATCCACCTAAATAATCACATGGCAGAAGATAATTGATCTTCAAATGCCAGACTAAGTTTTTAATTCTGTTCACTATTAAGCAGAAGCGAAATTTCTCATACAATTTACATCAGATCAAAATCTAAGCTTTCAATTCACACCCTAAAGACATAGGGCTTCAATAAGTATTTGCTCAGTCTTAACCAAAATACTGGAGATCAGCAGACAATGGGAATATGAAGTCAGTCTTGTTTATCTACAAGCCTTTCCAGTGATAAAGAGAAATACTCACCATATTTCTGCTAGTTATATCTCCTAAGTAAACTACAGCATTCATTTGAGGAGCCCAAGTTTGAATCTCTCTTTGCCAAGATGTCAAGGTAGAAAGTGGCACGACCAACAGGAAAGGCCCATACAATTGATGTTCATGAAACAGGTAGTTCAGAAAAGAAATGGTTTGTATTGTTTTACCCAGACCCATTTCATCTGCAAGAATGCAGCTATTCCCTCTGAAAAAAAAATACAACAAATTAATTGCGGGTGTAGAGAGGGGGAAGGATAGGACAAGAGGAAACTATCTTTTAAGCATAAAACACAATGATACAAGTTTTCCAGATTTTGCAGCTACACATTTTTTTATTCTTTTTCCATAAAAACAATTTCCATAAAAACAATTTCCAATCCCAATCCCATTAAATTAACAAAAATTAACAAAAAGCTTGCAAGTACTCCTCATCAGTCTAATTTTAAAGTATAACACTAATGCTGACATTTCAGAAGTTTGTTTTGGGTTTTTTAAAAAACATGACTTAACTCACTGAAATAAAAAACAAAGTAACAACAGATCTTAGTCAGTTTTTGTTGAGAATAGAATTCTAAGTTTTGGTATTAGTTCGAGCAAAACCACTGCCCACAGTCCTCTACTGTGAGCTCACAGTATGAAAGCCTTCACCTCCAAAAAAATACAGACAAATCGATTTCAATGTTATACAAATGCTTACAGTTTACAAGCAAAAAACCAAATTTGAGACTATACTTACTTGCACCATGAGTGAGCAAGCCAATTCAATCCATTTAACTGATAATCTCTTAACTCTAAGCTTTCATGTCCTCCAATGTACGACGGCTGCTTCTTTAGCGCAACAAATCGTGGCCTCTGTTTTAGAACCTGTGAGAAACAAATTATCAATCCTGCTACTGACTGAAACTACCAAAATGTCTTTCTATGGAAAAGTTAACAGTAGGGATCTAGCAGGTCATCAACTCTAGTCTATATCCATCAATGAAAACTAGGCCATAAAAAACACCAAGTAATATGCAACCTGAAATTAGTTTGATTGCTAACCTAAGTTTCACAACAGGACTAAAGTTAACTCATTCAAAATTTACTTTTAAAATAAACTACAATACTATACAAGCCCATCTGCTAGTAAAAATGCTGGAGAGACTGGTATCTACAAAAAACTTTACTCTTAATAGTGGTATTTTTCATACATATTACCATGTATCATTACTGCTATTCTGAAAAACCTTCCAAAAACTTTCATATATATATCTTATATCTGGATTTGTAGAATAATTTCACATTTTTACTACTGCAACTGATGTGGTGGCTTCAACCCTGGCAGCAGCCAAGCTCCCACCCAGTTGCTAACTCACTTCCCACCCCAAAGGGACAGGGGAGAGAACTGAGGAGGTGAAAGTTAAAAACAAATTGTGGGTCAAAATAAGGAGTTCACTGGGTGAAGGAAAAACACCCATCTAGCCAAAACAAAAACCCATGAACCAAAAAAGCCCCAAAACCCCCAACAAACCAAAAAACACCCCATGTGGCAGAAAGTGAGCCAGACATTCATTCACCAGCAATTTGTGTCATCACCAGACTGATGACCAGCAAGTCTCCAAGCAACACTCATTCCGTTTTATTGCTGAATATGACATTAAATGCCATGGAGTATCTCTCTGGTCAGTCTGGGGCCAGCTGTAATGGTTGTGTTCCCTCCCAGCACACTCATGGTGGGGACGACACAAGAAGACACAGGTAAGTTCTTTATACTGTGCAAGTCCTGTTCAGCAACAGCCAAAACACTCATGTGTTACCAACAGTGTTTAGGCCACAGATCTAGAACACAGGCTACAGAGTTTGCTATGAAGAAAATTAACTCCATGCCAGTCAGACCCAGTACTACTGATTATAAATCCATTGTGAATTACACACTCACCTTGCAGTCCTTAAAGGGAGTAGTCTTGGATTGATTTCTGCTAAAGTACTCATCAATGCGTGCCTGAAATTTTTTGGCAATGAGAGCTCCATCTTCCCAGCTACATTCTGAGTAAGGCAGACCCTGCCACTTACAATAGTAGTCTGGATAACCAGCTGCTGATTTCTGATTTGAATGAGCTGCAGAAAGGCACCAGAGAGATCTGATCACCATTTTACACCTTTATGATATTAAAATATTCATTTTAGGTAATAATACAACATAAGCTAGCTTCACAGCACAGACAGTATGAAAACTTTCTCTATACCTGATGTTTGTTTTAGATTTAAAAGGTAGTGATATCCACATTCTAAATTTCTTAACTACAAATGCAACATAAGCAGAGAACACAGAATTCTCAACACTGTTTTCTGTCCGCAAGTTTGCAACATACCAATTATTCTTTCCACTATCTGATATTGTTTGTGTAGATCATCTGTAAGCTCCTGCTGGCAGTTGTAATATTCCACATCTTCTGGAGAAGCATTTTTCAGCCTGTAATGGGAATTAATTTACAACACCTATTACACTGCATAGTTCTGAAACAAAGAAAATTCAGCAACTCTATAGCTCTGAATGTAAGCATCACAGGAATCTTGCTTAAGAAGCTTTTTTGAGGGAACAATTTGAAAATTCCTACTATGAAACGGCTTCATCTGACCTGGGTGCTTATTGTTGAGAATAAGTATTCACAATTAGCTGCATGACTAGTACCCCTGGTAGCTGTAGCTGTTGTGCCTCTTGATAAACAGTCTACTTTACAGGCTTTTTCATGGAACAGTATTTGGGGTGTCTCACTCTGTAAGAACCCATCTTAAGACTAGTTGCTTAAAATCCCAGCAGCATTCATGGATTATATTAAACATACTAATAAAAATGAACCCCCAAAAGGTGATTTTAAAATGGATTTTTTCAGGTTTTTATTCTCAGGCTTGAACCAAGAAAACCGAATTCTTTAAAGTAATCTAAGACAGCTAATGCACCAAGAAAACATTGATCCCTACATAAATTCCTGAAGAACTCCAATCAAAGTATAATGAAAAAATTAGTAAAAGTCACAATTTATTATTTAGGTTTAAACACTCTTGTTAGAACTCCATTTCTAACACACACAAATCAGGTTCAGAAGATTACTTTACAGGAACATGTTAAAGAGGCTTCAACTTTTAAATTTTTTGCATTCCTCTTGCACAGACACTGAAAATTATGTCCTCAAAACCAGGTAACAGGTCTCAGAAACACAACAGAGTACCTATATTGTTTCAAAGTAAGTATCATGGAAGTCTACAAAAAAATACTCACCATCGTTTTGTTTCTTGATCCTTCTTCTTATAATTGTCCAGTTTCTTCATTCCTTTAACATTTTGTTGCTTCAGTGTTTCCTCAGTTTCCCATGTATTATGGATGTGTGACCAGCCTTTCCATTTAATAAGATACTGTACTTCTCCTGGTTCCTTTGACTTTTCAAACCCAACATTTGGGTCACCATCTGCCTCAACTGCATAGATGGTGGTTGCAGCACCTGTGGCTGAGAAAGAAATCACATCGCAAGCCTTGAGAAAGTGTGCAGTTAGAAGCGTAGTGCAGAAAGTGATTGATGAAAATTTTAGATGAGCCTATGCTTGATTAGTATCTACAGCACTCATGTAATTACTATTATTTGAACAATTATGATGCAGGTATGTTCACACATGCACAAGCAGTCAAACGAAAATCAAAAAAGGAACCAGAACTTCTACACCTAACCTGCAATATTTTATCCTTCCTCCTGAGAATTTTCTCCGCATTCCTAGTTTTTAAAGTAGTCACCAGGGAACATTCCACTAACACTGCTTGTTACATTACTCTCACCTCTGAAGATAATCTGATCTTTTGCTTGGTCAGCCTTGAGACATGAAAAACCTACTAACAAGGACACTATAATCTGTTTCTTCCTAAACATGTTTTGCTACTTTTTCTGCCTCTGTTATCTTACCAGGGAAAAGGGTAAATTATGTACAGACTGTACTGCAGCTGAAGTATGCCAGCAGTGAGAAAAAGGTTCATTTCTGAGAGGACAGTCAGGTAAGGAAATGAGCCTAGAAAACTGCAGGGGCATGATAAAGTCACGGAGAGAGGCAACACCAAAAAGCATCACAAACAGCAACATCATCTGGGCACAAAGAATGTAAGAAGCTTAGTTCCTAAGGCTTTGACCACAGCAGTAATACTATGCATTGAAGTAGGATATGCCAGAATATGGGACAGCATGGAAGAAAAAATTGGAGAGGAAGAAGAGTACAAGTTCTAAATCTGTCAGAAACTTTACAGACATTGAGTATAACTAATGAAGAAAGGCAGCCCTGAAGTGCAAGCGGCTCAGGGTTTGGGTGGAGTTTTTTCATGTGTTTGGTCATATAATTAGAATCTGGTATGGGCCCTCAGGGAAAACTGGTTATCCAGGACATGGAGAAGGGTAAGGTACTCCACAACTTTTCTGCCTCAGTATTCATAGAATGGTAGGACATTAAGGGGTTGGAATGGACCTCAAAGGTCATCTAGTCTCGACTCCCACTGCCAGGGGCAGGGACACCTCTCACTAGAACAGGTTGCTCAAGGGTTTATCTAGCCTGGCTTTAAAAACTGCCAGGTTTGAGGCATCCACAACCTCCCCAGGCAACATGTTCCAGCGCCTTACCACCCTCACAGTAATAAATTTCTAACACTGAATCTAAATTTCCCCTCTTTCAGGGACTTTCAAAATTAACATACTTCTGAATATGGAGACAAAACAATATGACATTTTGTTAACTTTAAAATTATAAACTCCACAGGTGACCTATCTGCTGAAGTTGCACCACAATGCACACAGGGATCTTAAGAACACTGAAAAAAATACCTCCTTTTCGGCCAACTCGACTATCCATGAACTTCTCTATAGTTTCAAATTCATCTTCTTCAGTCTGTGGTACATCTTCCCCACAAACCTCTAGCAAATCATCAGAATCTGTCTTGGTTTCTTCAGCTTCTTTGTAACTAATGTTGACTGTGGCTTGGCGACGAGATCCCCTCTTATCATAATCATCATCATCATCATCCTCCTCCTCCTCCTCTTCATCCTCATCATCCTCTGATGAATCAAGTTGCCTTTTTTTTGGTCCTGCATTCTTTTTCCCACTTTTTGGCTTAATTCTTGGAAGACAATAAGATATGATAAAACAATGATGTTACAACAGGGACAACAATAAATCTTCTGCATTGTTTTCTGAATAAATGTATTTCATGAATGTTCAGTTACTGCACTTTCAGTTAAAGCAGCAGGAAAAGGTTATCATAATATACATGTTTAAAAAAAAAAGGAACTTTTTTAAAAAAAATATTAATGTTTTCAGGTGCACGTGTAGTAGCAGTAAAAACTTAACTACTTACGAACAATAGTATCAGTGTCCAAATGCCTGACTTCTTACCTGCTTGGAGGTTTCCGGCTTTTGACCTTGTTTTTTGGCTCATAGTCAGATTCGCTCTCTTCGCAACTGCTTTTCTCCCTATCTTCCTCCGATTCAGAATCAGAACCAGTTCCTGATGCTGATCCTGACCCTGACATTTGCCAGTCTTCACTGTACATATTGAAAAACAAAACAGTAATTTACATTGTTGGGTTTTTTAGAACAGCTATTCATCCACAAGGGATCTGCTGTACTTCAACATTCTCCACAGAAATAAAAATCTCCTAACAGTTATTTCAGTTGATGAGACAGAAAATTGTCAACCATGAATACCAGATAAGTAAAAAAATGCCCAATGTCATCAAAGAGAGTGGGACTAAGTTTTCCATTACCAAGAGGCAGCTTTAAAATCTAAAATAACAACAAAAATCTGGATTTCTATATTGAATTCAGTAGGAAGAAATGAGTTAATGACATTAAGAAAACAAAGGACTTAACAAGTCTAACTGGAAAGATACTTAAATATTTATCAGAAAATACACATGTTCAAATCATAAAGACCTGTCATGTTATACCCCGGACTGTCCCATATTGTCTAATGCCTGGGATCCCTGTGGCCCATATGAAGAATCAGCAATTTTGGCATGAGAATCAAACAATAATAGAGGCAGGTTTGAAAAACACTCAAAACCTGAATTGCAGCAACCTGTGAGTGGCACTGGCTCCCAAAAGCTCCCACATCAGTGCTTCAGAGTCAGGCAAAATACTATGAATAAGACCCTTGTTGACTGAGCAGCAAGGTATCTCCTTGTTTCTCTTAACTGAGATCTTCTACTTTGTGACAGGAAAGATGTACAGTATCTTGATTCAAACTCTGACAGGCAAATTTAATCTTAATAGCTTAAAGACCAAGAAAAACCAAAACAAAACAATGAGTCTGGTATGCATTGTTGAGACACTGGTAAATCTTTATACTAACATCAGGTTTAGGTTTACTTGACCAAACTGGTAAAGCAGTAACAACGTTCATCAAAGTTGGAATATTACCAAGAAATATGCTCCTTAAATTTCCAATCAGAAAGTCTAGGAATCCGTGTTTTGAAGTCCACTATGAGGACCAGAACTTGTGAACATGGGGCTGCTCCTATTTGTCTGTACATGGCCTCATTGGCTTGGTCTTCCTGGATGGGCAGACTGTAGCAGACGGCCCACTATAATGTCCTTGCCCTCCCTTTGATACATAAGCTCTCAGTCAGCTCCTCATCTATCCCCAAGTGGAGCTCCATGCACTTCATCTGGTCATTGACACAGATGGCAACACTGCCTTATTGCGTCCATGCCTGTCCTAAAGGGCCTGTATCCTTGCCTTCCAGCACTTGAGTCACACGAGTCATCCCACCATGTTTCCATGATGCCCATAAGATCACACCCCAGAAGACATGTGCACATCTCTCATTCTTCCTGTTAATTCCAGATGCTGCTTGTGTTAGCATAAAGACATTTAAGCTGGGCCCTCAGTGGAGCTGACTTTGTGTCTGGAGTGGCTGGAATTCGTCAGTGCTGTCCTTAAAAAAGACTTTTTCTACAAGCAGGAAATTAAAAAATATAATAATATAAATATACGACCTGTGTTTACATGACAATGTAAGAAACAGATACTGAGCACTGTCCTCTAATGCTCGAACATGTACCAAGTTATATATTGAGAAATCTCTGATCTGCTTGTCAGATGACAACTGCAGACAGACTTGTTCACAGGAGCCACACAACAAACATTCAAGCATTGGATATATGAAGTGATCTGGTTACAATTTCCTAAGCTTAAATATCTTTTCTATAATGGTATTATGTAATTGCTATTAATGCAACTAAATTCTTAACTAAGACTCTGAATAACAGCTCACTGCTACTCCCATTTCCTTAAGATATTATACTGGCAGCACTTGACAGTGAAGTGATTTATGAACTGGGAGAACAGCTCAATTTCTACACATCATTCATAAAAACAGACTCTCAGTAACAGTCACAACTGCAATGTATAATCTAACACTTAAAAGGAGCTTAACTTCAGTAAATATTCTTTGCTAGTTAAGAAGTGATTTACTACCAAAACTATAGTAACTTTCAAATGCGTCCAACAGGAAAGAAAAAAGCAAAATGTGAACAACGGCCCCAAAATGCAAACCAAAAAATATGGTATTAACTAGGAGATTCTACCTTGAATTTGTTGTGACACAACTTACTTACATGGAGGTTGGATTTATAGGCAAAGTCATTGTACAAGAATTTAGGGAGGGCTTTCAGCTCCAAAATAAAATGCAACAAAGTGTTTTAGAAATAAACACACTGATTAATGTTTTCTAACAATAGTGCAGACTCTCTTGCTAAGAAACTAATATGGTATAGGTGTTCATTTGAGAATTTAGTTTTAAAATTCAAAAATGCTGATCAAAGTTTGAAATAAAAGATCAAGACCAATTAAAATGGGAATTTAAGCATTCCAAGTGTGAGGAAACAAAGCATAAATTATGAATGTATGTCTGATTAAAAGTGGGTGTGCTATTATTTATGAAAATCTTACTCTTTATGCTTTTTCTTCTTGGTTTCACTGGATGAGTCATCTGCTGAATCTTCACTACTTGAGGAGTCCTGCAGGTGAAGGAAAAAATACCAACAAACCCAATTAATAACCACAAAAAGAATTAAGTTCTTCTAACCTATAAAAGAATTCAGCTTCCACCTTCCAACTGGATATTATTCATATTACTCATGTTCTACCTTCTTCATCCCCCACGATGTAATACAGAGTGAAATAAAGACTGCTATTGGCTTTGGATTTATCCATCTACTATGAATATACTGTGCCAGCAAAGCTCCAGAGAATATCACAACAAAAAAAAACTTCCAAAAAAATTAACATTGTGCCTACATAAAAGCAGCCATGGTTTAAAACCTGCGCCAGGTTAAACAAAATGATGGTTCTATCAAAATCCTAATAAAATCTCCCACCCTCAGGAGCTTTCTCATCTTCAGTATTATTTCACATCAAAACATCAGTTTAAGAAAACTATGAGAATAGCATGTTTCTTCTTTCTTTATACTCAAACTAAAAATGAGAACTCAAAGTCACATTTGCCTAAGGCCAATGTCACTGGCTTAAGTTTAGGTTTATATTAACTTTTATCCTGAAAAATATCTTTCAGGAAGAAAGAACTTAACAGCTGTAAAATAATGTTCTAATGTTAGGTGATTAAATTTTGTGTTTAAGTTTAAATGATGAGCTGCTAAATCAGACAAAACCAGAAATCCAACCAAATGAGTGTGAACACATGGCACAGTCTTTGTAATAAAAGACAAAAGGACTGCTTTACAAATAAATCCCATTTCATAGCTCAGACTAGTGCTCCTAAAAGATGTACTTCAAAGTACTGCACAAACTCAACATTTCTTCAGCCTATGATGAAGGTTTTGAAATACCTAACATACAGGCCTCACTCTTAAAATAGTTATTTGTAGTAACTATTACAAAATTTGTAGAAATATAGTTTTCTACTTCATATTAAATTTTTGAAAACCACAGCAGCTATCTTATACAGAAACAAACTGAAAAAATCTTTTTACCATTTTTATCTGTTTACAAAACTCAAGTAGCCAAAAACACAATCTAAGTCAGCACAGTGTGTCCTGAAAATTTTGTACAGACATCACAGAATATGTACCTAAAACCAGCACAGAATCCAAGCTGCTGTAATTTTGGGACAACTCATTTGAAAACAAGCAACTAGAGATATTTTAACTTTTCCTTATAAAAATATCAGTTATTTGAATGTTACTTTTATAGACTAAACCCAGACTACTACACACTCTCAGTGAACATAAATTGTATCTATGCAATTTTATTTTAACATATGAGACAATGAAACAGGCATTTTTACATTTTTAAAATCTACACTATGTTAATCACCTCTCCTGAAACACTGTCTGATGAGGGTTCCTTTTGTTGTTGCTGTTGCTTCTTGAGCACTGCTGATCTTTGCACAGCAAGTATGCTTGGACTAGACTTCCAAAACTAAACAGGAATAGAGATGCAAGAATCAGTTAAACATACTCAAAGTCTCCAGTTTACCATGTATTTACATTACCTAAGTAACATTCTATTAAGATTGAGCTTAAGTTTATCAACTGAAGAAAATCACTACAAAGTACTGCATTGACTAATAAATATCAGATGGCTTTTTAAAGTAGCAAGGTTTCTGCAAATCAAAATGTTATAGAATAATCACCAGGGTAATTACTACAATACATTTAACAATAGTTGTGTAGGTATTGGAAAGGTAAAACATTTATAAAGTACATATTTAAACAACACAGGTAAATCTGACACAGACTGCTCAACTGCTATGTTTTTGTTTCATACAGTAATTCCAAAGTGCATGAAAAAAATACAACAGAGAATCCTTAACAGTTTTCAATTCTTGTGGTAACTGATACACAACCGCCTTTCATAAATATGGTCTACCACTCCAATTAAGTCCATGCAACACAGAAGACTGCAGGTGATTCTGGGCCACTGGATTGAAGAGACTTCTAAACACCACTTTTTCCTGCATTTAGTTGACACTGATAAAGAAAGCCAACTGTACATAAACTTGAAACTTTTATACAATCATTTACTGATACAAGGAAACAAAGCACCAAAGAAACACTGTAAAAGAAGAATTTCAGAAATAATGTTACATGTATTTTTGTCTTCCATAAGTTTCAGACCATTAGTGCAATGCTTCTGTATGATGAAATTTAAGTACACCTTTAACTCATATACTTAAAAGTGTGAGAAATTTAAAAGTACAAATTCAAGTACTTAACTTAGCCCAAAGTTTAAGGCTTTGGGCTAAGTTTAAGCACATGTAGTCACTAACCCAGTTAAGTTAAAATCTAGTTAAGAACACTTCGTTACCTCCACTTATTTTTTAAATGAACACTGCTCTTGAAACTACTGGCACAGAAAGATTTTTTTAATACCCCCCCAAAAGGTGCATTTATAAATCTTGTTTACCTCTGATACATCAACTTTTGGTGGCTTAGACTGAATTTGTTTCTTCTCTCTAGATGTGTCAGACTCTGATTCTGACTGAGTGCCTGACTCTGAACCAGAGTCAGAGTCACTGCTGCTCGACTGGCTGCTGCTTCCATCACTACTACTTCCGGAGCTTGAATCAGATCCAGAACCTGATGCTGATCCGGAATCGTCATCTGATCGACTGAAAAGAGAAGTCAGTAGGATATTACCCAACTGGCAAGGTAACAGCATTAAAAGGTAAAGAACAAGCTGCCCATAAATCAGTTGTTAAGTTAGACCAAACAAATGTGTAGCACTCAAATGGATGCAGTCAATTAAGTAAGTTGAAACAAATGAAGTTAAAAATAAAAACAAGATAAGAATTTAAGGTGTAATTAGACACTCTCTGTGAAGCCTAAAAGAAGCAAGATAAAGCAAAACCTTTGAAATTGATATGACAGAGTCAAATGAAATTAAAGCGGTAGAAATGCTTTTTATCCACATAAGCTTTTCACCTTCACCCCTTCAAAGTTCTTGCTTAGCTCCATCTAAATTCTATATTAACAGTTAAGTCTACTTCACACAGACCTGTCCAACTAAAGATTGTTTTCAGTCTTTACAGATCAGCAATACTCCTTAAAAAACCAAACCACAACAAAAAGCTATGCAGACTGGGTTTTTCTGTTACAGTAACAGCAGCAAAATTCCCCATGCAGACAATTGTGAACTTGTCATAAGTGGCATGACTGGTGCCAAGGCACTTTCCTTGGCATACACTTGAGCTGTCAGATTATTTCACCTGTATATTCATTTTATGCCAGATTTAATATACTTACAAAGCGCAAAAATAAAAAGATACTTACTTCTGTGAGCATTCAAAAACTTTGAAACGTTTGTTTTTCTAGAATTTCACAGAGTACCCGAGTTAAAACTTCAGTAAAAGTCCTCATTAGATTAATGCAACATTTCAGAGGGATCATAAGAAACACCATGTAGCAAAATAATTTTATATTAGGTACACTCTAACTGCAAACGCTTAAAAACCCAGCGTAAACATGAAGCCGGAATTTAAAATGTTTAATCCAAAAGTGGTAATAAAAACCAGCCTAGCACAATTCATCTGACTGACAGTCAGCTGGAGGTGTGGCAGGGGAGAGGGCAGATGGATCATCTCTCCTAGAACGTACTTAATTTACAACATTTTGAAACTACAAACCCAAGCAAAATCACTCCTCTTTTGCTGGCACCACCAAAACTGTGCCAGTGAAGACTGCATCTCCATCAGCCACCCGTAATTGGCAGGTCTGAAGAGACACAAGCAGACCACGTGAAGCTTCCTTGCTCTGAAGGGGGAGATGCAGGAACACGCTGCTACTGGGTTTCCTTGCACCTGCCAAGAGGCAAACTGGGAAACAACAAGGCAACTCCTAAATTTCCAATTTCTTTTATCAGAGACTTACTTCAGGCATGGCGTTAATAACACTACCTCATTAGACAATAAAGCAAGTTGTTGGCTACAGAATATGACTGGAGGATAAACTGCACCAGAAACTAATGGCACTCCATGATGATCTTCCTAAGAGATTTTCATTGTAATAGTGTTTTTGTACACAAATGTTACCTTACCTTAAATGCTGGGGAGATCATATCATTATAAAACAACCGTGTTTCTCAGCAAAGCAAAACAGCCATAAGTAAATGCCAGGGAGATTATAGAAGGCAACACTAACCATAAGTGAAGAGAAGAAAATTCAGCATGGAGAGGCACAAGGAAATACTAGCCAAAGTTCCAGTGGTAAAATGTCATCAAGAATGGGTAAATCCTACAAATCTTAGAGGAAGGGAAAGGAACCAAATACCTCCATGCAGGACAAGACTTGGCCAAAGAGGGCAATAATAACATGGTTTACCAAACCTAAAAACTATGCAAAATACTAAGCCACATGGATGGTAATTTAGATTTCCATACAGCAGTAAAATAGGTCACACAAATACAGTGCTAACTATAGGTTCAATTGCACAGAGCCAGAGGCAACCAACGAGAGTTGGACTTGACGATCTTTGAGGTCTTTTCCAACCCATTTGATTCTACAATTCTATGAAAACAAAGTACCTGTTTTCTGAGGAGCACAAGGAAACTAACATGGGAATAAGCCATTGTGGTCAACTTGCTAACATTATGAGAAACACGTAAACCAGTTACAGGAGAGAATGGTGGAGAGAGAACAAAAGAGAAAAAAAATCCAACTTACTTAGTAAGCAAAATTTACACAATTACTTAGAAATACAGAATCATCAAGGTTGGAAGAGACCTTCAAGATCATCCAATCTAACCTTCCACCAGCACTACCACTGCAATCTCTAAACCACTAAACCCTATCACCCACTGCCAGACCCAGATGCCTCTTGAACACCTCCAGACAAAAACAGTTGATGGGAAATTTGAAGTCATTTGACGGTCTTCACAGGAATTGAGTACTAAGTTCAAACCCAAAGGGACTGAGACAGGGAAAATGAAAGTCCAGTGGATAATGCTATTTGGTGTAGAGCTGGATGCAAAAAACACAGCTAATGACAAACCCCATTCTTTACAATGAGATCGGCTAACTACCCTCTAAGGTCTCTGTTAAATAATACCAACATACCAACAGATGTGGATCATACTATATTCAGACAAAACACACAGACTCCTCATCTTGCCAACTAGCCCTCAAAAAAGCTGTGAGTCTGATAATGAATTCCAATTAGGCTTATGAGAAGGACCAGCAAAGTAAGACCTAGTCCATATTCCCTATTTCTAACAATAAATCGGCCTGATCTGGACAAGAGCAGCCTAATACATCTCCCTGCATCGCAACTAACAGTAACATTTGGCAAGAGCAAAAATCTTAAAAGTCAATATTCAACCACATTACTAATAAATGCAAGACTACAAAACAAACCTGCACTCCAAGTAAAATGGAGGGAAACAAGAAGAAAGAACAATAATGTACACCACAACTGATTTAGAGCTGCCCTAATGACACCATGTTCAAAGGATAATGCAGGATCTCTACCGAAGACTAACAGCTATTTGGTACATAGCAGAGAAAAAGAATTGTAATATGAAATTTGAAGGCCATGGCATCAGTAATATCTTACTAAGATTTCTTATCCCATAGCGTTAAATCAGCACAAGGAAATGGGAAAAGACAAACTGAATCGCAGCAAGCAATTTTAAAACTAGGGAAACAGCAAGGACCTGCTGAAACATTTATCAAATCACAGGATGCTATGGCAGCATTCACACATGCATAAAAAGGGTTTGAATTTAACTCATAGAAAGCACTATAGGAGTTCAAACACACAAGGCTAGTCGACACTGGGCAGAGCTTACTTCGATTATAATCACTCAGACTAATGCAGATGTGTGAAACTAAGTTCTGCCTGTATACTTCCTTGTGTGCACCACATACTCCCGGACGACATCATGGAACTACAAAGCATATTAAAAAAATGTAAAAATAAGATTAAAAAATATGACTTCATTGCTACTAAAGATTTCTCCTGTTCACTGGGCAGATGCTAAGTAATTGACAGGCTATGAGGACTACCAATGCACATCTATTTTATGTCCTTTCATATGCTATTTCAGCCTGGGCTTCATTAGCTTTGGGAGGCACAAACTCTACAAAGACAGTACTATAACTCAGAAACGTAAAAGCTCTTGTTAGCAAAGGAGGTAGGAAGTGACATCTTAAGTGAGTAAACTTTGCATCAACATAGGCAATAAAGACAAACTGTAGATTGTTGAGACAGTACTGAGCAGCACTGCATGACAAGTAACACCTGTATATCCCCAACAGCTGCAACAGTCCATAAATCAATGGACAGGCTTGAGAGGTGGGACAATGCAAAGCTCATGAAGTTTAACAAAATGAAGTGCAAGGTCCTACATCTGGGCCATGGCAATCCCAGGCACAGCTACAGGTTGGGTGGGGAAGTAACTGAAATCAGCAGTGTCCTGGTACACAGCTTCTCCTGGCACCTCGATTACCCGTGTTGGGTTGGATGTTCAAGGGGAGAGTCTCCTCTACACATCATGCAACTGATGCCACATGGAGTAAGCGGATTGCCCTGATCACACAACGAGCTCGGATAGGAAATCACAGTCATCCAGGGATCTTAGAACTGATCACGGACTGGCCAGAAGGCAAAGATTTTGGAATGTCACCAGAGGAGGAGATAATGCATGCTGAAGAGGCCCCATTATGTAATAAATTACCAGATGATGAAAAGCAG